TTTTTTTTGGATAATTATTGCCAAACTACTTATATTCCCTTTAACACCTGAAAGTTCTCTTATCTATACCAACCATCTCCATTTTATTTTTAGGTTGTCAATTACAATTGTGTAATCCAGGTCCCCCATCTCATTGTAAATTTATTATATGTATTCAGGTGGTTATTTAGTGTCAACACTTTGGATTATTGGGCTGAGACCATGTTTTCTTTCTAGCGAACTCCCTTTAACACTTGTTGTACAGCTATTGTGGTGGTTAAAAATTCCCTTAATTTCTGCTTATCTGGGAAAATCCCAATTTCACCCTCACTTTTGATGATAATTTTGTTGGGTAAATTATTTCTGGTTGATAGTTATTTTCTTTCAAGATTTTGTAAATGTCACACCATTGCCTTCTTGCCTCCATAGTTACTGGTGTGAAATCGGCACTTAGAATTATTGATGCTCCTTTGTAAGTGACATTTTTCTTATTTCATGCTGCTCTCAAAATGCTTTCTTTATCTTTATACCTGGTAAGTTTGATTATTATATGTCTTAGGGTGTTTCTCTTAGGGTTTAACCTATATGGATCTCGTTGAGCATCTTGGATAATCATCTTATGTTCCAGATTTGGGAAATTTTCTGTGATTATTTCTTCAAAAATATCTTCCTGACTTCATTTCCTCTCTTCTTTTTCTGGAATTCCTATTATGTGTATATTATTTATCTTCGTGTACAGACAGCACCCTTATGCCCTGTTCATTTTTTTCTACTTGGTGAATAAACAGAAAACTTCCACTGCCCTGAAAGTTCACAAACTTCTATGTCTTTTACAATTCCCTCCAAGGTTTCTTTTCATCTTTCTGCTAATCAGTACTAATTGATGCGAATGTGATCTGAGAGTCTACTCTGCTGGTACAGCTGGCTGAGTCTCCAAACTAAAAATAACTTACTGATGACTTCTCTTGATCTCTGCTGCTCCCACATGTCCAAGATTTGGGGAAACCAGTTGGCTGGATGACACCGGAGTGCGTCTGGTATGAGGCATCACATCCGCTCTGTTACTATCTGAGGCCTGTTGCTGATGTTGGTGCCATCCCTCATCCCTCGCTTGTCCCCCTGGCTCCAAGATGTTCATTTCAACACCGGTCTCCAAAGCAGCACCGGCCTTGAAGGAAGAATTGACAAATGGCCATGGACTCAGAACGATCTTCACCAAGTGCCAGAGACTAATGCAGAGCCAAGCAACTGAAGGTGCACAGGCCGCTCCTGTGACCGAGGGTAAGTTTTATAGTTATATTTATTTATTGTTTTTATAATTTTAGAATCTTAGACACTATAACCACCTTCTGCAATACCTTTTGCAGTCAATTTGATTGAAATTTCTGTTAGAAGTCAAGAGCTTTAACCATTGCAAAACTAGAGTTCCTCTTTAGAAAACTATACAAGACTACAGAGGGGAAAAAAAACAACTATTCTAGTTATTTACCAAAATAACCACTGATAACATTTTGTTTCGTGTTTTTTCAGTCAACTATGTAGGTATATGCACATGCACACATATATTCAAACATTTCATGTAAATTTTCCATTACTTTTCAATACCATTTTTCCAAGAAATTTTTGAAGTCTCAAATTATTAAGGAGTCCTGGTAGCACAATGGGTTACACATTGGATCAGCACTTTGAAACCACCCTAGGAAAAAAAGATGAGGCTTTCTGCTTCCATTAAGACTCAAAGCTTAGGAAACCCTATGAGGCATCTCTACTCTGTTCTAGAGGTTTGCTATGAGACAGAATTAACTCAATGGCCATGAGCTTCTTTTTAAAATGTTTTTGTCTGTCTGTCTGTCTGTCTGTCTATAAAAACCACTACCACTGAGTCTTCACAACTAATAGTGACCCTGCGGTGCAGAGTGCAGCTCCTCTGCAGACTTGTCAATGCTGGACGTTTTTATGGAGGCAAAGCCACTTCTTCCTCCTGTGATGGTAGTTTCAAACCATCAACCTGGCCTTTAGCAGCCCAATACCTCTTTGCGAGTAGGACACACTCTCCTATCATGAAGGGATATTTTTTATTAGGCCAGGAGTCTGATTTTGTGAACCGGAAAGTACATAACTTATTCTCTATTAGTATACATTTAGCTTGATTTTAATTTTTGTCTCTGTAAGTTATAAAGTATATATTATTTAGCATAAATATTTGTGAAAATCACTAATTGATGATTACATTACTATATGTTTCTTAAAGTAGAATCACTGCACTGATGAGTATAAATATCAAGTCATTTAAGATTTATTTTTACATTAGCTCTCTAGAGGGATCTACACTTAAACAATAATATTAGGACACTTAATAGTACAGTTGAGATTCAATTCAATGTCAATTTATTCTTCCTTTAAATACATATTAATGGTCAATCAACTTCATTTAAACCGCAATATGTTAACCATAAACATGGTATCATTTTCCAATGACTTCCATTGAGAATAGTTTTCAGGATGCTTTAAATCTTCAAATAAAAAAGGAAATAGAGGTAAATTTGGAAAAGTCCACGGATCTTGCAAACTACATTTCATAGAAATTAAACTTCTCTTTGAGAAGCACTTTGACATATTTCAAATATGTAATTTTTTCTTTTCAGAATTTCACTTCAGGGCGCTATGAGAAAGAAATGCTTGCCATCTGTGCTAGTGACTGTGCTGGGAACGTTGATGATTACTAAAATAAAGAGGATTTTGAGAAAAACACACTTCTCTTTATAGAAAATCACACGTGTAAAACTGCCTCTCACAAGACCATAATACAATTATAAACGCATATTTTCTTTTCTTTCTTTAAAATTATTCCAAAGCAAAGGAAATGTTGTCACTGGAAGTGTATGTTGTTGGTTTTTCAACTGTTTTCTAAATCATCAATTTATAACATTGTGTACGATGCTTTAATAAAAATATTATCATTATCAATTAATTTGCAATAATTTAAATTTAACCCATTAATTCTGACAAGGGTGTTCTCAAAGAAGTCCCAAAGCATGTCTTGGGAGATCAAGGAAATTATGGTATTTGACCATCCTCTTTAGATGAAATTTCAAGACTTCCATACAAATAAACAAAACACCTGTGGTAGTCATATAATCGTTTGTCAATTTAAGGATTAAGAGTGTAGGGGTGGAGTCTGGCCTGTCAATCATAGCATAGCCAATGAAGCCTCTGTGTAGGCATGGCCTTCTCCTGAG